AACTGGTAGTATTAATTTGATTTCAACAAATTCTATAATACTAATATTGATGGTCAAATGTATTAGGAAATTGAAGTAACATCTCCCATGATGTCCATACACTGAAATATGGTTGGTTAGGGGATGAACAAGAATTGATTAACAATTAAGTGTTACACTGAATCAATATATTGATTCTCTTTATAAAATTTTAATTTCAGTATTGGGAGGAGATACAGTTGTTATCCAACTTTGGCACTGTGCTTGTTTGTGATTAACTTTGTGGTGGAATATTTGGTTAGCTGAAATCCTTCTTTAAACAAAACCCATTGCTTATTTGATGATAGATGAGATTAGTACTTTGCCCTTGATCTATTTTTTTCCTGTTTTGTAAGTGGTGCAAAATATACATGAGAAGGAGTGATTATGTGTGGTTTAGTCTTAAGCAAGGGTCAGAGGGTGGACTGTGTAAGAAAGAGTTTTACACAACAAATGAAGCATTGAACACTACAACAAATACTTATGATGTACTATATGCTGGCTAACTGCAAATAAAAATAATTAAAAAAGGAAAGTGTTATTTTATCACTGAACAGGAAAGTCTTGTTTCTGGTTATACAGGGCTTTGACCCTTGGCTGGGATAAGACCAGTGGAATTTTTGTTGTTCCAAACTCTCCTGATGACCCCAAGAGTCATTTTCTTAAAATGAGTTAAATGCCTGATGACTTCTACTTGGCATAACTGACTTGACTGGAGGGACATGAATACCTCATTGCAAACTTGGTGCCCGAACTTTCCTGAAGCCCAGACTTAATCTCATGCTGTTCTTCGTGATTCAACTGGAGATGAAGCTTGTTTGTCTGTTTGAACAATCTCTCCTGAGAGGTTGTTCAGACATCTTGTCCACCTTCAGTGCTTGCCTGTACTCAGTTTCTCAGTTCACATTATCAATGCTCTTAAAAAAAAAAAATTATGTCATCATGCTTTTGGATTTCTTGTGAGTCCTTCCAAATATGCAAACTTGTACAATCTTTGCAGTTGTTCTGTCCACTAGCAGTATTTTTAGGATTAGTAGGATAACATGAGATGAGCAATGATGAAATTCCACAATTTTATATCTTCACCATTTCGCAACATGTTTTCTTTGTGTTGCTTGACATAGATCATCATTATTTGTTTAAACTTATGTGTACTGAGGGAAGGTGATATTGATGCCCAAGTCACAAGATCCTTGGAGTTAAATTTGAAAATATGTATTCCTAAGATATTTTAGGGTGGATCCTAAGGTCCTCTTGACTGCAAATGTAGCCCCATTACCAAGCATCAAGGTCAGTCCTTTGATTCTTTTCTTATCAGATTTTAGGATATCTGCCTGGGTGTGTGTCCAAAGATGTGTTAACACAGTTCCTCTTATAATCAGCCCTGTGAAAAGATAGCACAAGGTTGAACTGGGAAATCTGATGATGAGGAGGGGTTGTGGGACAAAAGTCATAATAAAGAGAATCAGGTCGAAGTCCTTATAAGTGGATCATGATTCTACAGCAGAAGAAAATCATGCTCTTTTCAAGAGACCATTTTGGAATAAGAGATAGTACTCCTACCATCTGTGTCATATGTCACTGATGAAAGACTGACTCTAGAAAAATCCTGGTCACTTTTCTTCATAGTAGGGAACTTGTCATCTTTTAAAAATTCTTTTATTTTAAGATTTTATTTATTTATTTGACAGACAGAGTTCACAAGTCAGCAGAGAGAGGAGGAAGCAGGCTCCTTGCTGAGCAGAGATCCCAATGTGTGGCTTGATCCCAGGACCCTGGGATCATGACCTGTGTCGAAGGCAAAGGCTTAACCCACTGAGCCACCCAGGTGCCCTGGGAACTTGTCCTCTTGCTGATTATCATGCTCTACCTAAAAACTCCTGACTGGGGGTGCCTGGGTGTTTCAGTCTGTTATGATGTGCCATTGCCTCTGGTCATGATCCCAGGATCCTGGGATTGATCCCCTGTCCAGTTCCCTGCTGGGCAGGAAGCCTGCTTCTCCCTTTGCCTCTGCTGCTGCTCCTCCTGCTTATGCTCTCTCTCTTTGTGTCTCTCTGTGTCGAATGAATAAACAAAATCTAAAAAAAACCAAAAAACAAAACACCACAAAACTCCCAACTGGATAATTTGGAGAAAAGAAGTGAAGTTACAGATTGATGACTCCATTTATGGCTATACCACTACAGGTATAGTTTGGCTTGGGTCTTTGTGGCCATATTTACCATGTGGTCATTTCCCCAATGACCTGAGAAACACTTCCAATGAATCATACAGTAAAAAGAATGTGGAATAATAGACCTTCTGTGTGGCCACAAATGGATAAAATATGTTGCTAATCTGACTGATAAGATGAGAGGTTGGCAAGAATCTTCTTTCCTACTCCAGATATGGAAGATCTTTCATTTGCTTCTTTGAATATACCAAATGTGGAAGTGGAATGAATGTGTTTAAGGAAAGCAGATGTGGAGGGAGGTCAACTTGGGATTGCTTTAAAGGCCTGGTTTTTCTGACTTTTCTCCTCTAGTGGTATGTAAAGGACATTTTAAAAAGAGGTAAGTTCCACAGTTTGAAACTTAAATTAATGAAAGAAATAAGGACAGAAAATACCACCTCTAAAACATATAAATGAGTGTGTAGGTCAGTATATTGTTCAGAGAAGGTGCTCCAGAAACATTCGCTGTCATCATGAGCATCATGAGCATCGTTTCCTTATTTTTACATTAACCTTTTCATCCCATCTTTCTTGGGAACTACAACTAGATCTTTAAAAATAAGTTTGATATTTTAGATACAGTGTTGCTTGCATATATTTAGAAGATGGTCACTCAGGAAACTATCACAAAACATCTATTTTTTACAGGTTATATTGGAGTGTATTTAACATACAATGTCACGATAGTTTCAGATGTACAGCATAGTGATTGGACAGTTCTGTACATTATTCAGTACTCATCAAGGTAAGTGTAGTCACCCATTTGTCACACGATATTATAATATTATTGATTATATTCCTTATACTATACTTTTTAACCCCTTGACGTACTTATTTTATAACAAAATTTGACCTTTTCATCTCATTTATTTCACCCTTCCCTCCACAACCACCTCTTGCAACTACCACTGGCAACCACTACTTTGTTCCCTTAAGACTCTGTTTGTTTATTTGGCAAAACATTTATTTTTAAAAGGATTTCATAAAGAGTGAGACCTGACCTGATCTCAAGTACTGAGAACCTGAGATATGTCAGCATCACATGATATTCAATCCCTGGTTGTGAAATCACCCTCTGAAGACAAGTTTCTGAGCTCTTCCTCAGGAATCCCAAGCTCTGTACAGAGATAGGTTTGTTGGTCTCTGGCACTGTAGTGGCTCTCCCTTTTCCTGCTTTGAGAGCAGCAGAAGGGGATCCAACATCAGTGAGAACTTTTGAAATAAGTTCTGCTCAGACACATCATAGTTGCTCCAGCCAGCTCCCCCATTTGTTACTGCAGAGATGTTTAAGGGCATTTGTGTCCCAGACTAGGGAGTTGGTGGGGGGATAGCTTTTAGTGTCCAGAGATCTGTACACAGGTCCCATTAGATTCCTTGCTGAGATAGTAACTCTCTGCTCTGCTGTCCCTACTCATATCCAGATGCCTTTTATGACTTATTTTAAAGTGAAGTGAGGCTGGCACAGATGTTTGGTCCTCCTGTGATCATGGTTAGTGAATGTTGGTCGGTAGTGTTGTTCCTGGGCTCTTCTTGTTAGCAACTGTTGTCCCTGGCTTGCTTTCTGTGCTGGTGACATATCTGAAGGCTTAACCATGTCTGAGCAATTTCACTAATTTTTAACTGATTCATTTTTTTCAATCTAAATCATTTAATTCCCACAACTTAAGAGAGTATGCACTGTTATTTCCATTGTACAGATTAAAAAAAATCAGTAGAGAGATGAAGCAAAATGCTTACATCAAAAGGTTAATTGATGCTGGAGACAAGATGAGAAATCAAGCCTCTTTGATCCAAAGCTCTTAATCTCTCACTTCAGAGCATCTGACTGTTTCTGAATCTCTCCTAGAAATTCATTATGTACATGTTAAGAATTCTTTTCTGTAATCCAGATCTGTGGTTATTGTTCAGTTTGTGACAAAGACTTGTTCCTACATCACTGGTAATTTCCAGGTGTTCAGACTCTGCCCTTGTCCATGTCTAAAACACATCTTTAACATACAGATATTTTCTGCCTTAACTCTATGGACTTGATCACTTCTATTTCTTCTGCATTAGTCAATTCTGCTCTAATATTTCTGTAGACAATTGTATACTGCAGGAAATGGAGGTGATGTAATTTTTAAAAAATATCTTTCTGTAAAATTGTACTTTTCTTGGGCTTGTGGGAAGTAAAGAGTTTTTATTGCTGCAGTGCAGCAGCATATATAAATCTCTAAAATATAGGAAGATAAGAGAAGGTATTTTTGGATGAAAGTACTTCTTGAAGACTCCCTGGTGTTCTATGTGTTTTTGCATATATAGTTTCACTCTTTTGAAATAAAACTTCATTCTAGCTGTCACATGTGGTGTGTAAAAAGTGCTCAGGAATATTGCCACTTCCCTGTTTCATACCCACAATCAGGGAAACATTTTGACTTCTGTGGCCCCTTGCTATTTGTCCTCATGAGTTCTTCTCCTCCATTAAAAATATTAAAATTACATTTTATGACAGCATTGGTATAAAGATGACTATACTACAAGTTGGATTTGGATTACATTCATTTTTCCTCTCATTTTAAAAGAAATTATCCACTTCCAGTGCTCCTAGAGTTATTGTGGGCTTGAGGCACCATGCCTGCTTTCCCTTAATGGGTATGTTTCTCCTGCCCACAATACATATACTTCTGAAGAAAAGTGATCCATACAGGGTATTTGACTGTCCCACGTTTAATCAACTAAGGAGGGGAATAATTCTCTCTAAATTATCACTAGATATTTTTATGTAAATACTCTAATCCCAAGTTTCATTATCACCAATTTTCATTATTTGCCCCCAGAATTTCTTCATGACATTTTTCACTTCTGCATTTCTGAGGGTGTAGATTAAAGGGTTCAACATGGGAGTTACTATGGTGTAAAATACAGCGACAGCTTTGTCAGCTGGGAAGGAGGTCATGGGTCTCAGATACAAGAATGAACAAGGTACAAAGAATAAGATGACAACAGTGATATGAGAAGTACAGGTAGACAGGGCTTTGCGACGCCCTTCAGAGCTTTTAGTCTTTAGGGAGCGCAGGATGACAATGTAAGAAGCAACCAGCATAGAAAAAACGAGCAGACATAGTGACCCACTGTTGGCAGCAATCAGCGGCCCCAAAGTGTGAGTGTCTGTACAGGCTAGTTGCAGGAGAGGCATCAAATCACACAAGAAATGATCAATGATATTGGGGCCACAGAATGGTAACTGGATCATGAACAAAACCTGGATCCCTCCATGAATAAAGCCTAAAATCCCAGCCATTCCCACCAAGAAAGCACATACAAATCGGCTCATGATGGTCATGTAATGCAAGGGCTTACAGATAGCTACATAGCGGTCATAGGCCATGACAGCTAATAGGATGATCTCTGCTCCAGCAAAGAAATGTTCAGCAAAGAGCTGAGTCATGCAGCCCTTGAAGGATATGGTGTTCTTGTCAGAGAGCAAGTCAGAGATCATTATGGGTGCTATGGATGAAGAGTAGAAGCCATCTATAATGGACAAGTAGGATAGGAAAATGTACATGGGAGATCCCAGGGCTGGGCTGATAAAGATGGTGATGGAGATGAGGAGGTTACCTGCCATTGTGATCAAGTAGGTGATTAAAAACACAGTAAGGAAGAATTTCCTCAGCCCTGGATTCTGGGTCAGGCCCAGTAGTATGAATTCTGTTACATTGCGTGTCCTTCCCGTGGAGTCAGCTTCAGTTACAAGTACAGGGTCCATCTGGAGAGATCACAATAATTCTGAGTAGTATTTTAAATTCAACACTGAAATCTTCCATCTTTCTTTAGTCCTAGCCTCTTGGACTGATGGAGACATACCTTCCACTCACCTCTACTTTGGAAACAGTTTATAAAGAAGTAAAATTTTCTTATTTATATAATTTGAATAGTGACAATATGTCACAAACACTAGAATTAAAGCAACATGTTATTATGACTGTTGACTTATGATTGACTTCCAAACCCTGGCTCTAAAACCTTTCAGATGGCTTTCTGTCATTATTTTTGGAACAAATTTCATCAGTGACAGTGATTTTTTTGTATATTTGCCCATTATCATGAATCTGTTTAGCTATGGGAATATAATATTCTTTAAAATTCAGCTCTATATCAGATAGGAAAGTGTCATCCTTACTGTTTCTGTACCAGCAGTGTTCTTTGAGCTAGGATTCCTTTCTGTCAAATGAATGTACAAACACACAGAGCTGCAGATGGAGTGTTTCCTCTTAGGAGGCCAAGGAACTCTCTTTATAACAGCTGTTTGAGCCACATTCACTCAACTGCCCTGGATGTTTTTTCTGGCTCAACATGACTATTACATCTTTGAATACAGATTTGGAAGTGGCACAAAGTTCCCTGAAAACTCTTCAGTATTTCGCAAATGGATTTTCTGTGTGATTGGTCTTTCATCACATACAGACTAATGTTCTGGAATAGATTTATAATCCTAGTCAAATTTTACAAATGGAATTAAATAGGTCATAGAGATTCCTTGAATTTCCTCTCATTGAGAAAGAAATGTTATCTAAGATCATAAAAATTTTCTTTGACTATATGTTTAATCAATTAAGAGGAACATGAAGTTTTCAGTCCTAATTGGTGGAAAAATTGAATATATACAAGAATATATTCTTTTTTTGAATGATCTTTAGGACTTTTTATTCCTTCTCCTCCTCTTTTTCTCCTTTCTCCCATCCCTGCCAAAAACATAACTACATATTTTTTCTCAAACTTTCTGGACACAGAAGTCAGTATCATGACCTTCCAGCTTCAATAAAGGTGAAGAAATGTCTTTTGTTTTCCAGAAAGCTCTGTCTCTTTAGTTATTTCTTCTCTATTCATGGCTGTTATAGGTGGCATCTATGTGATTCATCATCCTTAGTAGATTTAATCCACAAATTCTACTTCAGTGTGGTGCATGGGAATCATGAAAAAGGGAAACCATCTCAAATGATCCCATATAGAAGCCTACCGAAGCAGTCTACTTCTACATGCATGTTAACCACAATGTTACAAAAGTGACCTTAGTAGTTCTCAACAGCATCGTGTGTGGCAGCATTACAGATCACGTTTTCTATGGATATTTTATATAATCCTGTTCAAATTCATTTGTAGAGGAAACGATTACCTTCACTTCACAGCATCTAGCTGTCAAAACTATTTGGTCAAGACAATTTGAGTATAATAAGTTAAATCTGCTTAAAATTTGTGGACAAAGATTTAGTTATTACTGACCTGGATCTAGTTGATTGTGGGTTCCACTGTTTCTCGACTGTACCCAGTGATTGTTTCTTCCCCTGAAGACATGGCCCCACAGCTGCACACACAGTATGAAGTAACAAGTGGGAAACTGGAATTCTCTCCCTAGACAACTCTCCCAGTCTTCTTGGTCATTTTAGTTTATTTTGGTTCCCATTACTAGGCTGAACTTACTCAAAAAATGAACTATTTTATTAGGAAACTTCAGTAGCTTTCTGATTTAATTCTACTCACTTTCTTGGCCTCCTGTGAAAGTGTAAAGACGTCTTCAAAATACCGATACTTTTGAGATTTCAGAACTATCCTCAGTCTCAGTCAAAAACAATGGGAACAAGGAAAAATTCTTCAGAAAAAGCTGGTATAGGGGACTATAAAATGAAAAGTGCATCAGATCCACTTGATTATACATTGTTTTTCAAATCCTTTCTGCCAAATTTATGTTTCCTAATAAGTGCATGGGAAGTATTGAGAAAGTTCTTGTTATGCCTGATTTAAGCCCTCTTTTTAACCCATTAAGCTTGGGAGCAATGTCTCCCATATAAATCTTAAGCTTGTTCGTACACTCTTTGTTGCTGTCCTTTCCTTAAATATCCTGTAATTCCTTCTTCATTGATTCTAGAAAAATATTTAAATAGACTTTGGCAGAATGCCTGCACTTTGGTAATGCATTGACCTCTCAGGTCCTCAGAGGATTAGTAATTGGTCCTGTTGGAAACTTTGCTAGAAGCCTCAGCCTCTGCTTTTCACTTACTCCCCCTTGGCACCCACGAACATCATTAGAGGCCAGTTGAGCTTTAGTGAAACATGCGTCTGTGGCTAATTTCGGATGAAATTTTGGTAAGAAAATTAAGAAAGCTCCCTGATAGGGCTTTGTTGCTCCTTTTGACCTTGTTGAGCCTGGCACAGGGTAAGGGGTGGTTCTGGCATAGGTCAGAGTTCAGAGAATGGATTTCTCTCTGAAAATGTGTCTATTCTTACTAATATGGTTGTCCTGAGAATGGAAATGCCAGGTTTCAAGGTCATGTGCCATTTTACTCTGGGAGACTGACATTGTTATTAGTGGCTGACAAAGGAGACTCAGATGGCAGAATTCTCAGCTACTGAAGATTGGGTAATTTATGAACTATAGATCCATCAACTTCCTTTGGCATGTATATTTAGATGAAAAATCCTCATGATGTGTTCATGGGTGTATAGTTTTTCTCTCTATCACACACAGAAGGGATTGGGGAGATTTATAGTAAAGAACCGTGCTTCCACATACTAGGTGTTGAGAAAATCCCACTGAGTCAAACATTATAAAAAGACATTTAGAATGATAGAAACATTATAGAAAGGAGGCTCCACTACACACTTATTTCCCCCAGCTTCTGATATATTGAAGAGCTGGCTGAAATCCTGCACAAGATCACCTTGAAAAAATCGACATTTAACTTAAAACCAAACTGAACACTCCAGAAATCTAGAATCAGAAAGGGAAGCAGTGCTTTCAGCTCTCTTCCTGTAGAGTTAACAGTTTTGTTCACTCACAGTTTGTCCCTCCCCACACCCATTTTTAAAAAGGATTTTGTTTATGTATTTATTTAGAGAGCATGAGCAGTGGGAAAGGCAGAGAGAGAGGGAGAGAGAAAGTCTGAAGCAGACTTGGTGGTGAGTGTGAAGCCTGTCATGGGGCTGGTTCTCACGACCCAGAGATCATGACCTGTGCTGAAATCAAGAGTCTGTTGCTTAAATGACTGAGGCACCCAGGTGTCCCATCTCTTTCTTTTTTCAATTGTGGCAACATACAATTAATATAAAATTAGTCATTTTAACTATTTTCAACAGTATAGTTGAGTGACATTAAGTAACTATGTTTACATAGTTGTACAAACATCAACACCAACCATCTCTAAAACTTTTCATCTTCCCACTCGAAAAATCCATATCTCTTAAACAATCACTGTTCATTTCTTCCTTCCCCAGATTCTGGAAAACGCTGTTTTCTTTCTGGTTCTCTGAGTTGGACTATTCTAAATATTTCCTATAAGAAGCAGTGTTTCTTCTTCTGTAATAGGTTCATTTTACTTAGAGTAATGCTCTTAAGTTTCATACATGTTGTCACAAATGCAGGATTTCCTTCTGTTTTAAAACTGAAAAGTATTCCATGTCTATGTATACTACATTTCTTGTTTGAAAGATACACATCTCTTGATGTATCTTGAAAGATACACAATCTTGATGAGATTGTTTCCCCACTGTAGTAGCTATTGTGAATAATGCTGAAATGAGTATCAGAGTGCATAGAATTCCTTGTGATCCTGATTTCAGTACTTTTGGATAAATACCTAGATGTGGGATTGTTGAGTCATATGGTATTTTATTTTCAATTATTTGAGGAACCTCCATCCTGTTTTCCATAGTGACTGTACAAATTCACATTTGTACATCAGTGAACAAGGAAGGGTTCCCTTTCTCCACATCTTTACTAATACTTGTTATGTCTTGGGGGCCCCTGGGTGGCTCAGTGGATTAAAGCTTCTGCCTTCGGCTCAGGTCATGATCCCAGGATTCTGGGATCAAGCCCCACATCCGGCTTTCTGCTCTGCAGGGAGCCTGCTTCCTCCTCTCTTTCTGCCTGTCTCTCTGCCTACTTGTGATCTCTGTCTGTCAAATAAATACATAAAAAATCTTTAAAAAAATACTTGTTATGTCTTGTCTTTTTGATACCGGCCATTTTAACAGATGTGAAATGATATATCATTGTGTTCATTTCTATTTCCTTGATGATTAATAATGTTGAACATCTTTTCATTTACTTTTTGGCTATTTGTATATTTTCTTTGTAGGAATGTCTATTTGAGTCTTTCACCTATTTTTAAATTGGGCTATCTTTGCTATTGAGTTGTATGAGTTCTTTGTTTATTTTGGATACTAACCCCGTATTAAACACATGGTCTGAAAATATTCTTTTCCCATTCTATGGGTTGTCTTTTCATTCTGTTAATTGTTTCTTTGTTGTACAGAAGATTTTTAGTCTGATGTAGTTCCATTTGTCTATTTTTGCTTTCAATGTCTGTTCTTTTGGTTTCATACCCAAGAAATCATAGCCCATTCCAATGTGATGAAAATTTTCTAGTATGTTTTCTTCCAAGAGTTTTACAGTTTCTGGCCTTCCATTTTAAGTCCACTTTGAGTTGTTTTTTTTTTTTTTGTGTGTGAGGATTTTAGATGAAGGTTCTGTTTCATTCTTTTGCATGGGTACATACAGTTTTCCCAGCACCATTCACACCATTTATTATTTTTGTGTATTTTTCACACCCTTGTCAAAGATCATTTGACTACTTGTATATTCCTGGGATTGTTTGTGCATTCTCAATTCTGTTGTATTGGTCTCTATGTCTGTCATTATGCCAGTATCATACTATTTTAATTATAATAACTTTGTAGTATAGCTTGAAATCAGAAGCATGATGCATCCAG